AGTTATGGGAGGTTCCGCAATATCCGACTCAGGGCAAATCAAATGATTTCTGGTGGACTGAGAGTCATCCAATACCCGGAAGCGCTGAACGAACCTACTTCTGCATCGAGTCACTGTCTCAAAATTGTGTACTGTGTAGCATGCCAGCCTACATTTACAATCAATGGGTGGCAAGCGTTAACTGCATTCGTTTCGAGTCAGCTACATGCTGCATATAAGTGCATTTACTCTTATCTAGCGTGTTATATAACATTCTCAGGCGACGTGAGACGAATAAGGACAAAGAGAAAGTATTGAGATTGTGCGAAACATTGACGGTGCAGTCACCGTTTTCATGAAAATTGCTCGTTCTTTTCCCATATCAATAATTATGAACATCTATTGAAAATACGTATGTATTGTTACCATGACGATGCTACTCTCATTAAGAAATATGTAATATAGATGAAATATGGCTCTAATAGGAAATGTATGTTCTGTCCATTATTTACGTTAACATAAAACACAAATATACACATATTTCTTTCATGCAAGTCTCTGTATTTACTTTGAATTTAATATTTAGAACTGCAATGCTAATGATTTAAACGCCGTATTTTTGCGCACTTATATGATATCCCACTATGGGTGTCTGTGAAAGGTTGGAAATCCAGAAACTGGAGATACTACAGACCAAAATATGTGAATTGACCTAAACATACCTCAGTCCAAAAGTTGATAGTTTGCGAGATACAGAGTGTCAAAGTTAAAATTTTATTTTCTATTTTTCCTTATTGTTTGAGAAGTACTTCAGATTACCTAAATAGTTCTTCTTTACCATAGATTAAAAATATTAGTGCCTTCTTAGTTCACACACCTACTGGCGGGAAAGGATTGTGTTTTTTGGACGTTATATGACATGTACATCACGAAAAATCGTGTCACTCATTTCCGTCGGTCTATGTCTGTCTGTCGGCCTGTTCGCTAATCTTATAACCACCTATAACTTGAGACGTTCCGCTCGGATTTCTATGGAAATTTTTGCACAATGTCAGTGCTATATCAAGGATGAAGATGCTTTGTAGTTTTTGTAAATCGGTCCAGTGAGGGCAGAGACTAAGGCCTGAAACGGAAAAATAAAAATCGTCCGAACTACATTGTTTAAGGTTTCAGAAGATCATTTTAGAAAAAAAATCACAGATTTATCTGTACATTAGCTCTGAAAACTTTGGATCCGTAAGTATCGGCCGCGGCTATTGCTGGCGACGTATGTCGACCGTGATGACTGTTCTGCTATGGAATCACACGTATTTCTGCCGAGCAACATCATAGTGTTTTTTATGCTCTAGCCGCACTACCACGCCCACGGTGCTACGCCTGTCCGAGTTAGATACCGCGGAGATGCGACGTTTGCAAATGGACTGTCATTAGGACAGGGAAATAATGTCTATTAACCAATTGTATGAACCTTTTTGACTGACTCTTTCTTAGAGCGTCTAGTTTGAGTTGAGCATATTCCTTTATGTACCTACTGAATAGAGTGGTTGCGTGAGTAGTACAGATTCAACCTACTTGACGCTAATTTTTCCACTTGTCATTCAAAGAAGATAATTAATAACATTTGCACAAAGATTATCTATGATGTCGAATAGCTATCACAAAATTGAAGCAATTACCTAGGGCAAATGGTACGTCCAAAAATAATAAGAAACCTCAAAAACCTGTCGAGATGGCAAGGTTGGCAAGAGTATGTCAATCCAAAAATATGTTGGATAATGATTTGATAAATAGTGACAATACCTTATATTGAAGTGTTCTGAAGTATAAGCAAATCAGCAAATTTTCTGGAAATAATTAGAGAAGCGAAAATTAGGGAAAAAACCTGGTCTTCTGAGCTAAAGTGTATAATAGCAAATCAACAGATAATTTGGATATCACGACTGGTAGGATAGACCGTATTCAAAGCGATCTGACTTGAAAAATATCAGGTGTTATTTAATCTGTTTATCCCATCAGTGTAACCTCTCGAAAATGTTATCTTAAGCATCTTTCCGAGATATTGGGCGATAAATTAATATTTACCAAACCGAGAAAAATATATTTATGGCTCGGAGCAGATACTGTATTGACCAAGCACAATACACAAAAAACCAAACTTAATCAGAGGCGAAGAAACTGAGATATATGCTTTAAAAAAAAAAGAATATGTTTCGCATCGCATGTTTTAGTAAGGAATCGAATTCCTTATGGATCTCCTGGAAAATTTCAATCAAGCCATTCCTATCAGAGAGAATTTGGTTTGAACAACATATCGGTAAAGAGAGACTTGCAATTGTCCGCTGAGGGAATGCCATTGAGGTTTGCAATTTCTGAACTTAAAAAGCTATATTTTCTTGAAATGCAAATTATTACAAATAATGTGCGAACTGATTTAATAACTTTGCGTGAATGTAGCTGCTCTATTACGTCAAGTATATAATTCACACAGAATCGACTTTAATTTATGTATATGCAATTTAGCATTGCATGTGATTATTCAAATCAATTTTGCCCAATATTCCATTGTATAGAAATTAATCAATCTCATAGGTGAATAAGCCATAAATCTTAAGTTAAAACATAAGATTAAAACACGCAAATTCTGCATTAATATACGTTTGGTAACCGAAACCTCAATTCTAATTTAGGAAATAATTTGAATGTACCTGAAATAAGTTTAATGTGTCTCTCAAATGGTTATAATAGTTTAATAATTCATACTTTGATACGACCTCAAAATAGAAAAAAGCTTGGTTTGCGCAAATCTAAATACAATTGTGCGATTGGTAGATAAGAATAAGAGAAAATACTTTTTGACAAATCTTATATCATTATTAAAATAAACGCTTTCTAAAAATACAGAACTATGCAAGTCGCCTAAATTTGATGCCTGTTTCAATTCTGAAATTAACACTAAATCTTCACGAAAAACAAGATAATACTCGTACTATAGTATTAATTAAGGAATATTTCCATAACAACAAATTTACTCATGTTCGCTTATTGATGGTATCACTAAAAATATGCTAAGAAACGTGTTCGGAAGCAGCAACTAACTATTATAATCAACCAGTCACTGGACACAGGAGAAGCACCATCAGTGTGGAAAGAGTCAATTGTGACACCGCATCTTAGAGCGGATAATGCTACAGAATTGCAGGACTTGAGACCATCACTGCTGTATTCGTCATGTCGGAGTTGTTAAAGAAAATAGTGGGTGATGAGCTTTGTGAGCACTGAGAACAGAACAAAGTTTTGTCTGATACCCAGTCGGGTTTTAGGAAACTACACAATACGTCAACAGCACTCATAAAAATTACTAATAACATAGTCAAGTGTATCGATGATGCCCAGGATATACTAGTGATGTTGGATTACAGCAAAGCATTTGATATGATTAACCTCAAGATCCTGTGTGCACAGTCAAAACATTTTGGTTTTACCGGCAGAGCGATAGTTTATGAACTATTTGACTGATAGATCTCGGTGCATGGAAGTGCGTGATAAAATGTTCAATCAACTAAATGTAATTTAACTGGTGTCCTATACGAGAATGTTTTAGGCCCCAAGCTATTTACCTTTTTTACATCAGATCTATATTATTATTATCTACTTGGAATGTATACTTGTATGCAGATGATGTACAAATATATGAGGCCTGTAAACTAGATGATGCAAATAGCTTCATCCCACAAAAACTATTGTTTGCTGTATTGGTTCAAGACTAGTTTTTCCAAAATTCAAAAAAGCAATAAATGCAAATATACTATTAGATGGTACCATTATTCAAATTGCAGAGCAAATAAACAGTTTCGGAATACCGTGAGATACAAATTTAGGTTTTGAATGTCATGCTATGAATGAAGCCAAATCCTGCTAATATAAGACGCTCTCGAGATATAAACACAGATTGACAAGTGATATTAAATTACTACTTGTAAACTCATTGACTCTCGCACCTTTGGACTATGGTGTCACAGTTTATTATACATTTCTTATAGAGGAAATAAAACAAAAAATTCAACCTTTACAGAATCGTATAAGATTTTGTTATAATGACATAGGTAGACAAAAGCACATCACTGGTTACTAGGTTGGAGAAGATATCTTAAAATTTAAGTAATGTTCACTGCTTTTTAATGGTGTTATTGTATAAAGCTGTTAGATATAAATATCCAAATAATCTATCATATATAGGTAATGTTTTAGAGTAGAGATCCTCTGTTCACCATGTTTTTCTAAGAAACGATGATTTTTATAATATTCAAGGCCATGTAACATTTAAATTTGAAAAAGCTTCCATTTACATAGCACCTTATTTGTTAACTAAATATTTGGAACTTTTCCAAATCACTTCCAGTCATTTTAAAAAGGCTTCTCTTACAAGTGTTTCATACTTCAAATGATCAACTAGCGATTCACTATCGTATTGAATTTATATTGTTACCTCAATTTTATAACATTTTTGTATGCTATGTATATTTAGAGATATGATGAAGCTCATGACTCTACATAAAATAACTTTAACCTGCTGATTCTCCTTGTAATTGGGCTGTAGACAACGGTGAAAGATGACAGTACCAATCCTCAGCCTTTTGTAGTGTCATTTTTTTCAATATTTATCTTTATTTAGCATAAATGCTCCAACAAATATTATTATCATTATGTGCCAGATATTCGTACAGTCTGGAACACTTTGTCGAAGAGGCGTTGGGAACAAAATGTCCCAGGTGAACAATGCGCGCAACATGTCTCAACTTGTACTGCATACATTTAAATAGTTAGTAACATGTACATGCTAGTAACATGTATCAAGAATATGTGCCGGACGTTTGTTGCTCAATATATGTCATATGTTCTGACCATGTAGGTGCGTTTTCATTCGGACAAGATACAAGCACTTCTTGCGCTACTGGTTTTCTTTGAAATCGCCTTTACAGTGTTTTTTCGATCTCTTCTCGTGGAATAAATGTATAACTTACCTGTCCTGATAGTAGAAGCAGGAGTGGCTTGAGAAGATTCAAAAAAGGCATGGAAAAACAGAACCGTTGGTTCTGAGAAGTTGAAGTGCGATTCAAACAGAGCCTCGTCATCTCCTATCCTTAATTGGGACGGTTGCAGTGGATTGTGCCTAGAACATGGAGAAACTATATGAAGTTAAATTAAAAACCAAAAACCAAAATAACCAGAGAAGCTGCTTAGCTCCGCTGACTGTTCTGCTATATGAAGAAGTTAAACAGATTTTGTTGATAAAGCTAAGCTGATTACATCAGCAATATTTACATATATTATTTACTTCCACAAAATTTTGATTGGAACACATATGACAACCGTGCTTGTCTAAGCTCGAAGCCGAAACACATCTTCGGGGATTCCCCAAATAGGAATATGCTCATTCGATTAGAGTCTTAGCTATAATGCTTCTGGTAGAGATGCGTATAATCGAGAATAACGCAAAATGACTTAGTCGGGAACTGGCTAGTTTGGGTCTCATTTGGATTAACGTAGCGTTACAATTAATGAACATTTATAAAGATCCACGTTTGAGTTTACCAATTTTATTAGCAGAGGTAAGAATGTGATAGACCGCATTTAACCCATCGATGAAGCTGTGGTAAAATATCACACCCAAAAAGGCATCAAGAACATCTGGGATGATTCGACGGGTTGCTCATTCGCCAAAGAATACCTCAGCTATCTTCGTGAGGAAGTAGCAAGACGTTATACCTGTCTATGTCCAGACGAAAACTTTGTTTTGTCACAAGCATTTTGACTGCTAAGGAAACATCTTTGTAACATGAGAATGAGTAACACTTCCATTGTAGAAGTTGTGGATAGGGAGGAGGCTATGCGACTGTTCAGCTGTCCAATCGATCCCAGAATCCATTCTGCGGGAACCATTTCCAATAGTCTGGGTTGACAGGCGATCCAGTCTTGAGCGACCCCTACTGAGGACGTACAAGGGGCCCAATTGGGCCTAAGTGCTGTAATCTTGGGAGATCGTCCTTCTTTATATACATAATGCAGTGGTGTGGTGAGAAACGATTAGCTGATTTATAATGCTAGGGACCAACTAGTTCTAAAATAATGCTACTGAATAATATTTTCATAAAATTAGCTTGATTACTTTGATAAAATACGTTGTTTTTGAGAAAAATATTCATTTTTGTATACTTCTCCTCCAGTCACACTCCAAAAAGTCTGTCTTAAATCTTAAACTTAATCAAGTGATCTGGAAGCGTATAACTTGGAGTCCTTCGGGTCGCTAATTGCCAATCTTTCATCAAAATTAATATATTCCTAAAATGACGTAACCAGTATACTAGACCCACTGCCAAAATTAATAGAACTGTACTTTCTCTAACAGGATCGCATTTATCTATACCAAGCAAGAATACACTTTTTTAGCTTGAAGGTGAGACGTACACAAGACAATTGGGCCATTATGATACAGGGTGTACAATTTTTCATCACTGGTGCTTTTGGATTTTTCCGTTCCTGGCGATCTAAACGAGTTGATTGTTTTCAAGTGAGGCCCCAAATAGGGCTAACCTGTCAAAATTTTGTTGAATCAAACAGTGTCATTCGAACGTCATTTCAGAAAAGCAGATTTCCAGCAGAGTCCTTTTTTTTTTGGTTTTCTAAATTTACGAACACGAACAAATTCTGTGACTTATGGATAGGAAAGGTTCATAGCAACTACCACTCGTACAGATATTTTGTTAAAAACGGACTACAATAGTGTAATATTACATCAGATGTCTTTCCGCGTTCGTCTATTTGACAAACGTCGTGAGTCACGTTTTCCACACATTTTGCGTTTTATCTGCTATTAAGGGTGATATAGTTTGAACAGATTGTTTAACAACAATCACATTACTGACAATTTCGTTCAATTGCACAGTTCATTTTGTTTCCTAATCATCAAGTCGCCAGAGGCTAGCAATTCTTTGTACATTTACAATGTTCAATTGGGTCTAAAGCAAGTCATGAAACAATGCTTTATTTGCCAGTACAGCGTACACCTAGTCGATATTCAAATGTCAATATCCTGCACGATTTTAAGCAGTCTCCGGACATGAATTTGTGTATCACGTTGAAAATGGAGTCAAGAGTACATTGAATCTATACTTCCTATGCCTTCGTTGCAGGTTTTGAAGAAAAGGGATGAGTCAAGTCGTTTCAAAAGGCAAAATCGAATCGTGATTAGGTAGGCTGCCTTAGCTATGATGAATCGTCGATCTCAGGATACCAAACTATATAAAGTAAATCTATCATACTTTTGTTTCCATGACAGATGTAGGGAAAATATGTGTGACTTATTATGTCTATCAGGTGCATAGTAACACTGAGATCAGCAGCTTCTTGATAATAGAACATCTTTCACTGACACCAAATATGCCACAGTACAAACATTTACCGCATACAGCTTCCAGAGTACTATTTCCATCCCCTTCAAACAATGTCAGAAAATGAGCAGGAATCTCTGAAACGTTATGGTATTAGGCGATTTTATTTTTTGTCCGTAGTTCTGCCGCCTCTGAATCAATTTTCAAAATCTACGACCACCTAAACGATGGAAGTATTAAACTCGCCTTATTCAAACATCAGCTTACACATTTTCTGTTGCTTAAAGATATTTATATCACACATATGAATGCGAAATAAGTACTGAATCAATCTACTTGACGAAATATTCTGAGAACCATCATAGACGTAGTAACAAAAATTAAAGGTTAGACCAAATGGGTGGTTCATTTAAGGATCGTAAATTTCAGAAAAATATATGTGTAGATATAAGAACAGTTAAGTCATCATTGAAAAAAGCATCACAGAACGCTAAAGTGGTACGTACCCGTAATGTCTAAATATTGCTAAGACATTTATAAACATTCTTCTGTAGCTGTGCGTCAGTAACGACACTGCCGCAGATTCACCAGTTGGAGTTACGTGTTTTTACCTAAATCAGAAGTTTTTTAATGATAGTACGTCTCCGACTAATACTAAAAACGTAATATTGATAACCGCGTACACCCTACAACCCCCAAGCCCCAAGCTTCAACCCCTACAAAATTTTTTTCCGAAAATGATCAGGAGCATCTGAAACGTCAGCGTGTGAGCGTTTTTTATTTTTTACGTGTTTTTACCCCTAGCTCCGCCACCACTGCACCGATTCTCAAGAACTACTAAGCTTTTCCATCCTTGACATAGTACCAACCTTTTTAAAGATTTCATCAACATCCGAGCGGTACTTCTCAAGTTATAGGCGGTTATAAGATTAGCGGACGGACTGACAGATCCACAGACCGACGGAACTGAGTGACACACTAGGTGGAGGAGGAAGTAAAAATGAGAGACAATGTGTCTCTGGTTCAAGGGCAGATTCAGGATTTCGTCTAGGGGGACGACGGGTGGGGGGCAAACGATATTTGGGGCTGGTCATTTTTTAACCTCAGTGGAAATTCTAGAATTTTTCCTATTATTGCATCTTAAATCCATTGTGTTCTATTTGGTCAAGGCCAGCTTGAAAAAAAACATGAAAAATGCTCAGAAATCCAGAAAGGCAATATCTTATTATATGAGAACAAAATAAGTACGTGGTATGTATAATTCACTAGTGTAATAATATTAAAGATTCAAACATAAAAAACTTTATTGCTGGTAACAAAAAAAAAATAAAACATTCTGAGGGACTCCGAGACATATCCCAGTCCATTCCACACAAAACAATGTTTTTGATTGCGAAAACGAACACGACACGGTTAGGATGGGAGGTCAAAGTCAGGCGGGTCTGTCTGGCAGGCACATCGCGCGGCGGCATCATGGAAGAGAGCTCTAGTGGTACAAGAGAGCTAGATCGCCGACGGCCCGTCTGTGCGAAAGGGTCCCGAGACTGTATGTTAGAGAAGAGTCATCGATCAGTCGGACAGCTCTCCTCTGGTCAGCATCGAGCATAAATAATGTAGTCGGAGCGGCAGCACCCCAAATGTGTGAGCAATACTCGAGGCCAGCCCTCCTCTGGACCTTGTATAGAGTGAGAAGGTCATGCGGAGTGCTGTCATCAGCGAAATTGTGGTTTAGGTGGCTCCTGCAGGAAAGGAATTCGATGATATGTAAGAGGAACAGTGTCGGAGCCAAGACCGATCCCTGGGGATCACCCCCGTTGACGTTGTGGGATGAAGAGGAGAACCAGTCAATTACGACGGATATCTTGCGGCCAGAGATGAAGTCAGCCAAGCATCTGCAAAACTTTTCTGGGAGGCCATAGGATGGAAGTTTACTTAAAAGAGCAGCGTGTTACAGCTGGTCAAGATATCAAGAGCAATGACATAAGCCTCACCATAACACTGGATGAGTTTACTCCACAATTGCGTGACGTAAGCTAGGAGGTCCCCTGTAGATCTCTGGTGCCGGAAACCTGTCGCTAATCAAGCTGTGACGTTCGAGGTAGTCCAGAAGCTCGCGATTTAGGCACCTCTAAATTGCCTTACTTATAACAGAATGCAGAGCTATAGGCCTGTCGTTGTGAGGGTCGGTCTTAGATCCATTTTTTGGGATGGGTTAGATATGAGCGAATTTCCAGTTTTCTGGGAAGGTGCCAGATTCATAAGGTATCTGGAAGAGACGCGAAAGAACTGGAGCAAGCTCCGCTGCACATCTCTCCAGTACAATGGCAGGAATCACGTCCAGTCCAGAAGTTTTGTTGATGTCGAGCGATAAGAGTACTTGTCTTACGGTCTTATACCTGAATATTACTTCCCGCATAGTGTAGGGAAATAAATTTGGGGGGTGTTTTGTTGTGGCGCGGCCACAGAATGTCCTTCCGGTCTGATTCCAGAGAAACATCTCTGCAGCAGGAAAGACTGCTGTGGACAAAGACCACAACTCCTCCGTTCTTTCTCAGATTGGAGTGCGCCTCGTAATCTGGGAAGCTAAGATGGTTAATCGGTGCGGACTCTGAGATTTTTGTCTCCGCCAAGAAGAGCACGGAGGGACGATTGGATTGCAAGTAGTAATGTTGCTTTTAATCCCGCAGATGCTCGCGAAACAAATTTTATCTTCGATGTTTCCTCGAGTCCACCGTCCACCCGTGAGTTTACATCCGGAATTCTTAGTACTCGAGGGATCTAC